TCCGTGTCCCCTCATCAGCATGGAACCCGTCTACACCCGTCTCAGTTGCTGTCCCTCTGTCTGTCTGTCCTTCAGATGGATGATGACGCCATGGAGTCCATGTTGGCAGATTTTGTCGCCTGTCCGCCTGACGACGAGGACGGCGCCTCCGGATCCAATCGTTCATAGCAAATCGCCGACCGGGACCGCTGCAAAGTCACCATGAATACAGAAGATACTGAATCTCTAGGGACATTTCCAGGGTTTAGTTCCCTCCGTACAGCAACCCAGATTACCAGTGTTTTCTTTCTTTTGGCTGTATTGCCGCACTGCGTTCTTATGTCACCCAGTATTTATCGGCAAGATGTAATTCAACACAGCTGTCCTAGCATATGTACATGGTTTATACATTGTATGCTCTTTGCTTTGTCGTTACTGTCTCACGCTTTGTTATAAAAAGTAAACGAAAGGATTCCTACATTTCCCCCACTTCATATTTAAACACGCACAATTATGGTTTTTAACTTTTTTCCTTGGGATTATTGATTCACTTTACATGAGGTGATCATTGTAACTTAGATGCAGGAAAGGGACTTCATTGGGAATGGAACGGATTTCTTATTTGAGTGTTTTGAGCAGTACAAACTAAACGTGACTCCCATTCAAATTGTTTTTGTGTAGCTATAAATATCAGTGTGAACCTGGACAAATAAAAAGTCTAACTTGACTAAGTAATGTTTAGACTGTTGATGGTACAACAGCAGTACCTGAAGTACTGTTGTACTATCAGTGAGTCCATGAGGGTTTACGGTTTGAATCACCAGCAAAGCACCGCACATCACACCTCCTCCGTGCTTCAGGGTGGGAACCACACGACACACACAATCTTTTCACCCGTTTATGAACATAGACCAGAGCCGCAGAGAAATGAGATCGCAGCTGCAGAAATCCAGACCAGCAAGCATCTGCATTGACACTTTCTCCCGTCAGTCTATTGCTAACAAATCACTTTTCACTCTTGTGCAATCTCATTTTTCGTCATATGGTGCATAGTCCTTACAGCGTTAAGGTTTCTATCAGTGTTAATTTTGGCAGCTATTTTTGATTGTCTTTGTCTTTAGACAAAAACGCGTGTTAGTTTTATTCACATTTAGTCATTTTAATCCTTCAAAGAAGGCCATTTTAGTCTAGTTTTAGTCACATTCATTAGCCATGTTAACCCTCTTTTCGTCCCTTCTCAGGCCCTGTGTTGTGTCTACAGCTGCATAATACTCCAGCTTGCAGTACTTGCTTGTCCATTAGATGTCCCTCCTAGGACAGGTCTATATCAGGGGTCGGCAAACGTTTTGACTCGCGGGCCACAATGGGTTGTAAAATTTGACAGGAGCCGGGCCAAGAACAAATGGTTGAAGTGTTTGTGTGAGTGAATATAAATGACATGTGAAAAATCATTACATGAAAGGATTTGGATTTTAGCAAGTAGCAAAGAATTTATTTGCAAGTCAATTTAACAAATTGGCAAAGGTGAAACAACTTCATGAGGACCAGGGATCTAAACGCAACACTTGTCTTTTTGTCACTGTTGTCTGTCTGTTTACTTGCAATGCTTTTGACATGGCCACCGGAAACTTCATGGTCCTTTTATTGTTTCCACTGTCCCAACTAAAGAGACCCCTTAACACCCTACAATCGGTGCAATACATTATTTTCTTGGCTGCATCATAAACCAGCCATTCTAAACTGGACCCCCGCTTTTCATTCAACAGTCTTTTCTTTTTCTTTGTCTCTTTGTTTATTTTTTGGTTTCATGACCAGTTCTTCTCTCTTGTGTCCTGCGGGTTTTCCTCCACCTGCTCTGTGCCGCCACATCCTTCACCTGCACTGCGCAGTTCTATCAAAAGGATCCACCTGTCACGTGTGTGCGCGCCTCTCTGTTGCTTAGTAACGTTAGTTGCGTACGGTGGCCGAGACGGTTTAACACCGTCTCCTCACGATGTGGTGTGTGAACTATAGTTGAAATGCGTGAGGCTTCAGAACCTGCAATGACTTTTATTATGTTAGACGTGTTAACAGCCCCGAGCTGTTAAACGGGCCTTTATGTTTCTGTGAAGCAGCGCGGCTTCAGCCTGCTAACAGTCAGCTAAACCGAGACAGCGGAGCTAAACTAACGAAGCGCACATTCAAACTCGCGAAGCGTAAAATATAATAGCTGCGTGGGAGTTTAGGGGGGGAAAAGTATTGTGACTTCGTCAACCACCAACATGTTCGTCTTGTCTTGTCTCGTTAACGAAAGTAAGAATAGATTTAGTCAATAGTTTTTCTTTTTTTAGATTTAGGAGATATTTAAGAGTTTTCGTTGCATCTTCGTCTTAGTCATTGAAAAAAAAGGTCGTTAACGAACGTTTTTCCTCATAGTTTTCGTCGACAAAATGAACACCGGTTTCTACAACTAATTGAAGTTCAGTAGAGATTCAGGTCCTTTTTAAAACGTTCCCACACGCTGCGGACAATCAGTCTGATGAAATACCTGATGCCAAACGAACCGTCGCACACAGGTGGGTGCTGCCCCTGTGATGGGGGATATGACTTTGTCAGGTGTGCCGTTGTATGGGTGTTGCATTCCAAGACCAGTACACATGAGCTAAAGGCTATATATTCTCACTGGGAGGACAAATATTTAGGATGCCATACAAATACTCAAAGTGAGTGTCGAGCAAGTTCAGAATGACCCCGTGTGCTTCTCAGAATCCGTGAATCAGCTGGAACATTTCACCAATCCTACCTCCATTTCCTCCCAGAATTCAATAACAATTACTTTTTCGATTACACAAATATAACGCAGCTGTAATTTATCAAACTTATAGTGTATATTCTAAATGGCTGTTTTACCTGTTGGAAGTTAAAATGGTCAGGAAATTCAAGTTCTGTCTTTTGATTTATAGATGAGGCCTGTTGTGACATGATACACGATGGTTGTCAGTTGTTTCTCGGTTAAGACAGTTTCCTGTTTAGACATGTGGGCTTATCTTCTCTAAATGCAGATACTGTATTGGTGACATGTTGGTAAACCAGAGCTAATGGATACCGCAGAGAACCAGCCGAGTAGGTTGAGGGCTCACATTTACATTTTTCATTCAGCCTCCGCTTTTATGCAAAGTGACTTACAATAGGTTCATTCAACCAAGAGGGTACAGACCCAGAACAACAAGTAAGTGCTAATAAGCTGCAGAGGTTGCATGGCGCCGGCAGGTAGACCTGCTAGAAGTGAGTTACAATAATCAAGGCAAGGCAATTTTATTTGTATAGCACATTTCAACAACAAGGCAATTCAAAGTGCTTCATATAAAAACATCAAAAACATCCAAACATAAAGCAAGGAGATTTATAAAAAGTTAAGAACATTGAAACATAAAAGAAAAACAGTGTAATTTAAGAATGTCTTTAAGAATTCTGTCTTGCCAAAGCGGTCAGTTAAAGGCAGCAGCATACAGAGAAGTCTTTAATCTGGATTAAAAGGAGCTGAAGGATTCCGCAGACCTGCAGCTTTCTGGGACTTTGTGGAGCAGAAAAACTGAACGCTGCTTCTCCATGTTTATTTCTAACTCTGGTAACAGAAAGTAGACCGGTCCCTGACGACCTGAGGGTTCGTGGCGGTTCATCAGCAGATCAGAAATCTAGTTTGGCCCTAAACCATTCAGTGCTTTATAAACTAGCAGCAGGATTTTGAAGTTAATTCTTTGTTTGGCAAGAAGCCAGTGTAAATACCTGAGAACTGCAGTGATGTGATCCCCTTTCCTGGTACTAGAGAGGACTCGAGCTGCAGCATTCTTAGTCAAGATGTGAGATGACCACACCCTGGACCAGAACCTGCACTGCCTTCTGCGTGAGAAGGGACGTATTGAGGGAAAGTTGACTGTCGAGTGTAACACCAAGGTTCTTAGCAGGCAGTGATGGGGTCAGGACGGTGTTGTCCAAGGTAGCAGTCAGGTTTATTAGTGGGGGAAGGAAAAGAAGTTCAGTCTTGTCAAGGTTACTTTTCAGGTGGTTCACACCTGAGATGTCAAACAGGCAGAGATTCATGCTGCTACCTGTGTCTCAGTCTGGGGAAACAGGCAGGAGACGCCATGTGATTAGATGAGAGAGCCAAAACAGTTAGTGCGCAGTTTAAGTTTTGGTGAGGCCATTTATTCAAACTGCTCAAACTGGGGGATCCGGTCTGGCTCCTAGTTGGTGATACAGTCGCAAAGAACAAACAATGTGCAAATCAAGTAATGTACCCGAGTACAATATAGACACACTTGTAGCTTACTTGAGCACATCCATTTGATGTAACTTTAGAATTAAAGTCTACCATGTCTGACAGGAAAATATTGTACTTAAAATATGTGTTACTATTTAGGCCCCTTTGCAGAACAGTTTATTAATACAAAATAACTAATACACTATGACGTATTGTAAACTCACTGGCCGCATCCAACGAGGGAAATCCTCTTTTACACACAATGACAGATGGGAAGAGGAAGTAACCATCATACGTTCACGTGTTGAAACATTTACATGCCAACAGACATGCATCAAGTCTTTTGGATTACAACATGTGTGTAATGAGGCTGTTGTGCCGGATGAGGTCAAACCAAGTCATGTTACCAAATCTATAAATATATGTAAGTAAAAGTATTTAGTTTGAGCGTATTTAGTCCAGTTCATTAACGTGCCCTTTTCAAAGAAAGCTACATGTATTGGCTTGAATATTTTCAGGTAATCGAACTTGTGCGTGACTGTTTGTCGGTTGACAATTTAAAAAGTTTCACTATTAAAGATTGAGCCACTCGGTGCTGTGAGGGGGTGGGGGGGGGGGGGGGGGGGGGCAAATCTTACAGCCCAATCAGTGCAGCCTGAATATTTACCCAACTTCCCATTTGACAACTCTCTCTTGCTCTCTCTCTCTCTCTCTGTGCTGAAGAGCAAGGTGATACTACACAAAGGTCTTTGTGTGAGAGCTGTGGAGTAAGAGGGAGGGAGGGAGGGGGAGAAAACTTCTGCCGAAAAAAATATTCAAACTGGCCGCAGAGCAACAGAAGAGATTTTTCTGCACTTTGAAACTGTGCTGACCTCATAACTGTTGAACCCACACATCTGTGGCGGCTGTCAAAAGAGAAGACGTTGGATACGGAGGGGAGAGGAAATAAAGAGCAAAGCGCCAGAATACATCGAAGCCGAAGGAAATCTGCAAGAGCTCTACAGGAAAAGAAGAAGGAGGGACTGACACTCAGCTGTGTAAACTCTTAGACTGAGGTAAGGGATTTCTTCACCCTCTACACGCTGCGATGCTACGCACTCAAACCTTTTCTCAAAGAATGTAAACTACGCTCAGCTGATGTGGACTCCCAAAAGTAATATTTTTGAAACAAAGACTTTATTCCAGTATGTACATTTTTAGCTTTGAAACTCCTCACCCTTTGGTAAAAAGTCCTGTTGGCCATGTGAGAGATTAACTTACATTATTGTGAAGATGCTTATGAGCGTTTGAAGTAACTCAGTGATACTGGCTGAGTCGGGGGGTTTGCTTACACATCTGGAGCAGGAGTGTTCGCTGGTGCTTAATGCTCTCACTGCAGTCACACTGCCATGGTAACCACAGTTCCCCCACCGTATTTGACAAGACGACCCTGTTGACGCAATGCGGAAGCTCTACAGCCACAAATGAATATCATAGATGTATTTCATGTAAGGGAGCTCAAAACAAATCTATGATGGAGGGATTCCCTCCGTCCTCCCGGTAGAGCTGAACAGCGCAGACAGAGCTAACAGGCCAAACAAAGCTCACATTGGTGAGTGGAGGCCGGAGGGCGGCCTTTGTCGATACTTATATGTTCTTCTTTTCACTAATTTGAGGAGGGCTTGGAGAAGAACCAATGAAAACAGTCCACCAACCCATCAAAAGGCACCACGTCTTTCTTTGACTTTCTGAAGACTTTCCAGGCTCAGTTAGCTAGATAAAGAGAGCGACCACACAACAAGTGATTTAAACAATGTATGATTTGAAGGTAAGACAAAACATGACAGAGGACGTGTGGTGTTGTGCGGGAATAATAAAGAGGGAAAAGCAAACCTAAAGTGTAGATGCTACTTGCGAGAGAATGAGATGCCAGCCTGAAGGACCTCAGGACATCACACAAGATGGTCCAGTCCGTGTCTCCCTGCAGGCTACAGAGAGCAGGAGGAGCAGCGACTGGAGTCCGTCACATAGCTGCTATAGACACATGCAGACATGCCGACCGTCAGACCTCTTATCTGTTGTGTCATCTGCCATTTGCATCGGCGTGGTGTCAACATTTGTTTCTCTGGGAAATAGTAAACAAATGATATACATATGAGCACATCAGTCCACACTACAGAATATTGAGTTTGTTTCCTTAAGAAATGCTGCACAGTGCAAAAAACTTTACATTTGTGACGAGTGTTTCAGACAATTGAGTGTAGTATCATACAGAGCAATTATTCCCGAAGACTCGTAGGACAATTTATTTGGGTGGACAAACACCTTTTCCTGAATGTATTTTCTACTAATTTATCCAACATCTACGTTGGCAGTTCACTTTTAGGTCACATAAGTCACTCTGAATGTTTTGTTCTGATAATTGTTGCCTGATGATTATGATTATGACTAAACTATAATTAATTTAATGACTAATGAATGTTTTGTGCCTAATTGCATTTATAAGTTCTATATATTTATAAAGAATTTATTAATGGGTATATGTTTTCAATAACACAAGCATAAACAACGTTGTTAAAAAATGTATATCCCTTCTAAATGGCTGGTTTACCTGTTCAGGAGGATTGTTAAAATGATCAGGAAATTCAACTTTTTTCTTTTTTCTCAAGATGTATAGATAAGGCCTATTGTGACATGATTCACGATGGTTGTTAGTTGTTTCTCGGGTTGGAACATTCGTGGAAACACTGATAGTAAGTTTCCTGTTAAGATATGTGGATGATTATCTTATCTAAATGCTGATGCTGCATTGGTGACATGTTGGTAAGCCAGAGCTAAGGGAGAGGAGTAGGTTAAGGGCTCACATTTACATTTTTCATTTATCCGACGCTTTTATGCAAAGCGACTTACAATAAGTTAATTCAACCAAGAGGGTACAGACCCAGAACAACAATAATCAAGAGAGTACTATTTATTCCTTTGCACAGGAGAATGACAGAATCATTTCTGTGATTTGAATTGAACTCACTGTAAATCTTATACCTTATTCATTGTGTCCATCTTGAGAGAGGAAACCCTCCTCTGACGTTCTTTTTAAGGTTTCTTCCTTTTTTCTCCCTGCTGAAGGGTTCTTTCCTGTGACAATGTTAGCGTTTCGTGACAGAGGATGCCGCCCTCCTCTGTAAAGCCGTCTGAGGCAAATCTGTAATTTCTGACTTTGGTTTGTAGAAAAAAAAATGAATTGAATTGAATTTAACTGTGTGCTCATGTTCTCAGATGGAGGTCTACACTGTTACCATAGCAACTGGTACATCAGAGTATTCAGGTACCAACAACTACATCTTTGTGACCCTGGTGGGGGAGAAAGGGGAGAGTGAGCGCACCCTGCTGGATAATCCTGGACTGGACTTCTGTCGGGGAGCAGTAAGTGTGTGTGTGTGGAATAATAACAGGTGATAACATGTGTACTGATGTGCGTTGAAACAGTGACAGCAGCAACAGTTCTCCTTCTCCCTCCCTTCATTTGTGTCAGGTGGATCAGTACCAGGTGAAAAGCCCAACGCGTCTGGGCACTGTGCTGCTGGTCAAACTGGAGAAACAGAAGTACTGGTTGGAAGATAACTGGTACTGTCGCTACGTCACGGTGGAGCCTCCAGGTGGAGACGTGGTGCTGACTTTCCCGTGTTACCGCTGGCTTATAGGAGACATCAAAGTGGAGATAAGAGAGGGACCAGGTAGGAAAAGTTTCGAGGAGTTTCCAATGAACTACTCATGTTAACCTGCAGCTCTTACATTGGAGGCCGGGGGACGAACAACTGTTCACAGAAAATTACTATGTTGTGATGGAACAAGGCCGATAACATGCAAATCCTGGTGCGTGTGTGAACAGACCCTTCTTTCAGCTATTCTTATAATGTTTTGTTTGACTCAGCCAATGCCTCGATGGATGGAGTAGTGCTGATATCCATTATCTTGTTGCCTGTCAGAGGGACTTAGTTGTAGTTAAGATATGGCTAAATGGTTCAATCTATACAGAGGCTTAATAGCAATAGGCTTTTGGTTTGATCACCCCGACATCCACACTATTACTTTCTCCTTCTTTACATAAAGTACGCACTTCTAAAATGTCAACGATGACAAGGTGAATAATCAATGACTATGAAACAGATACGACTCTGGAACGTAGAGTTTTTAGCCTAACGTGATAAAAAAAAAAACCTTCAGAACGAGAAGAGGACGATCAAAAGCTGCTCTGGCCAGATGGGGCCACATACAAGACTGGCCCAACACCTGTGAGTGAGGAGAAGCAGACCGCCTTCTACTATCCAACCCTTGCAACTCATAACTATCATGCTTCAGTCGAACAAAAAGAAGAAGAAGAGGCCCAGTTTAAAAACCGGTCAGGACATCTCAATGTGCTTGGAAAAAAAGTTCACTGGATGTTGTTGAAATTAGGAAATTAAATCAAATCTCCTTTAATCTCTTTACATAAGTCAATAGCCTCCAAGACCCTCCTCTTGGCCCCTCCCTTAAAATGTTGGTGTGGTGGTCACGGGCCCCTGTCGGCCTGAGTTGTTGCTAAATGTGCTTTTTCCTGTCTCCCTGTTCTTCCTGCTCATGTAGCGAAGACGCTGAGGGACGACTCCTTACCTCAGCTGCTCGCACACAGGAAGAGAGAGCTGCAGGAGAGACAGGCGACTTACAGGTCCGACACACAAAATCACACAACAAACACTGGTCGCGTTAAAGGGTTTAATGTGTTCATAGTCATGTCATGCCGTGGGTCCCTGTCTTTCAGATGGATTACATGGGGCCCAGCGATACCCAGATGTATTGACGCCAAAACCGAAGCAGATTTACCTCAAGATGTCCGCTTCGACAACGAGAAGCGGAGCGACTTTGAACATTCATTACAATATGCGTGGGTGGTGCACACACACACACACACACACACACACACATGTCTATGTTTCCATTCTTGTGAGGACCGCCACTAACATGCATTTCACGGCCTCTGGTCCTAACCGTAACCAGCCCAATTGAATGCATAGCCCCCCAATTAACCCAAAGCCACAAATAATTCTAAGCGTATCCTGAAAAGCACGTTTGAACCTTGAAACAGTCTGTAAGGCAGAGAAGGCTGTGGACACCCACTTTTTGGTTATTTCTGTACATGTTCTTCCCATCAGCTTGCTGGAGTTGTCCCTGAAAAAGCTGGCCATCAATTTCGGGAGGTCCTGGAGCGACCTGGACGATTTCAAACGGATCTTCTGGAAGCTGCGAAGCCCCACAGCTGGTAGGTAAATACACACAAGCACAGTCCTCCGTGGTTGTCGGTTCGATGCCTGGCTCCGCTAATCTGCATGTCCACGTGTCGCCGGGCAAGACGCTGAACTCGAACATTGCTCCCATAGCTATGACTACGGTTTGTGAATTAGAATTACTGATGGACAGGTGTCACTGTGTCTCATCAGTGTATGAATGGGTGTGAATGGTGAATGATGACATGTAGTGTTAAGGAACTAAGAGACAACTTAGTTGTCGGAAGACTAAAAAAAAGAAATACAAGTATAGTCCTTTTACCATTCCCTGTGTGAGCATCCTCAACCTTTTTCCCGTGCAGACTTTTTTGCTTGTTCTAGCAAGCCACCTGGCTGCCGCCTTCGCGTTTGTCATAAATACTTTGTCCTCTAGAAGCTGCAGTCTTATAATAAAACTTGAATATTGGTTGTAATAAGATGTTCGCATAGACATCCTTGGACAGATTTTGTTGAGGAGACCTTGGTTCAATAATCATCATTTTTGTTAGCATGAGGCTGATTATAGTTACCTAGCCATTAATACAGATTTACCTGACCTCCAGGGTTCATTACTCATGAAGTATGCGTGCGTCCTTTCCTCAGAGTACTGCATGGACCACTGGAAGGAGGACCGCTTCTTTGGCTACCAGTGTCTGAACGGCTCCAACCCAAGGATGATCCAGAGGTGCAAGAAGCTGCCAAAAAACTTCCCTGTAGAACCAAACATGGTGCAGAGCTCCATGGCTAATGGGACCAGCCTGGACAAAGAACTCAAGGTTGAGGAATATTGTCAATACAATCTGTTACCTAATGTGACAAATCGCAACAAAAAGCATTGGCAGAACGGTTTTATTGGTCTGTTCGTTCAGCTCATGCTCTCCTCCTTTCATGTCCACGTTTTTATAATGTTTTGCGTCTTTCGGCCCAGGCAGGTAATATCTACCTGTTGGACTACGCCATCATGGATGGGCTTCCCACCAACACAATCAGGGGTAAACTTCAGTATATCGCTGCTCCACTCTGTCTCCTCTACCAACACCCAGATGAGGGTCTCATACCTATTGCTATACAGGTATACCATTCACATACATCATACAATTAGAGAAAAATGATAAAAATTTTGTGGAACCTGAATGCAATTAGCATTTGATCAAAATCTCAGAATATTTCATCCCAGCAACTTTGAATGCAAATGTCTAACAAGACTGTCTATTCAAAACGGAATGGATGTTTAATATACACGTATGAGCATCTTAACAGGCAGCACAGCTTTTGGAAATCATAAACTGCAGCTCCTAAACTACAGTGGAAACATAACTGGTGACTAATAAGGGCTCAGCATCCGGCCTAGGGACCTTAAATGCAGTGCAACAGGACGCCTGTAACAGTTCCTCCTCCTTGTGCTCAGCTGGAGCAGTCTCCGGACAGAGACACGCTCATATTCCTGCCCAGAGACCCGCCCCTGGCCTGGCTATTGGCCAAGATGTGGGTTCGTCACTCTGAGTTCCAGGTGTTCCAGTTGCTTTCTCACCTGCTGAGGACCCACCTGGTGATAGAGGTGTTTTGTGTGGCTACGCTGAGACAGCTGCCTGCTGTGCACCCAATCTATAAAGTGAGTTGTATTGTTCAGAACCGCAGTTTTCCGTCAGGTTTTGGCTCTGATTGCTTGTTTTATCTGAGTTGGATGGAATCTTTCAAAGGCTATTAGCATCTACGGTCACGATGTGGTACAAGTTATGACAAAAGGTGTTTTTCAGAAAAGATACCGCAGCTTGAAACTGTTGGTGCTGTTATTTGAGACTCTCTTCTGTGTCTTCCCACTGCAGCTCATGGCACCTCACCTGCGTTACACTCTAGAGATCAACTGTAGGGGGCGCACTCAGCTGATCTCGCCCGAAGGCATCTTCAAAAGGGTGCGTCAGTGGGCCCTCCGCCTCATCACAGTCACATCGTTGATTTAAAAACCCACCTGATCGTGTTAAACCGTCTGATGTGTAGGTTGTGTCCACGGGTGGTGAGGGCCTGATCATTCTGGCCCAGAGGGAGTACAAGGTGCTGACCTACCGCTCTCTCCAGCCTCACTTCGATTTCCCTGACAGAGGCGTCTCCCAGCTCCCAAACTATTTCTACCGAGAACACAGTCTGATGCTGTGGGAGGCCATACACAGGTACTACGCCGTATGCTCGTGCTAGCTGGTAGGACACTACTGCTCTGCTGCTTTATTCAGAAAAGAAGAAGACAAACAGGAATTTATGGCGTTTTGAATTACTATTTTCATGCAACTTTTGTCAACTGAATATGCCATGACTGCCATGACAAAAATGATTTCAGTGTGTTGGGTTTGAGTGTTCAAATGATGCACACAAGCTCACTTAGTGCTACTGATTTGCAGGCATTGTTTTTATTATTTGAGGGTACGACTGCATTTATCTTATCTTTCCTTCAGTTTCGTCTCAGGTATGGTAAACCTGTACTACCAGTCAGACCATGATGTGCAGGAGGATCTGGAGCTCCAAGCCTGGATTAGAGACATTTCACTGGAAGGCTTCACAGAACTCCCCAACTTTGGTCAGTTATAAATATCCTGCATTTTTATTCTTATAAACACCCAGGTTTTGCACATGTGGTTCCAGCACAGCATTTTTAAAATAATCTTAGAGGTACTATGGAGCTTTTAGAAAATCATTGTGACGCTTGCATCGGGCAAGCTAACCAACCAAGATATCGACTCGGATTGTATGACGGCGACAACATTAGCGAGCAAGCGGGCTGAGCTTTGCAAGATAGTTGTTACTTAGCAAGCTGCATGTATATGCTGCTGGTTGCTTTGTAACTAGCTGATAAAGTCCTTCCTAGACAACTAGCAAGCCAATTCTATAAAGCACCGGTGGTCCGGATGAGTTTGCTGAAGATATCCTTTGTGTTTTGCCAAGGAGCTGCATACTGGTCGTGCCGTAGGGGAGCTGTAACAAAAGCTGCAGGAACCATTCAGTTATTGTGCTGTCAGAGATGATATATTGTTTGTGCATGTAATACCTGGTGGTGCATGTCTGTTCAGGTCTGCCCAGTAAACTCTGCACCAGAGAGGAGCTGTCCACCCTGCTGTCAGTCTCCATCTTCATCAGCACAGCCCAGCACGCCGCCACTAACAACGGACAGGTACTGAACGCCACGAGGGGTCGCTACACTCACACTTACACCGAGCGCCCGTAACTCAAATCGGCCCTCACTCTGCCTGATGTTCTTTCACAGTTTGACTGGTGTGCCTGGGTCCCCAACACCCCCTGCACCATGAGACAACCTCCACCAACAGACAAGGATGCTGTCAACATGGAGATGATCATGGCCACCCTTCCTGATGTGAGCCAGTCCTGCATGCAGATGGCTATCACGTGGCATCTGGGACGAGCACAACCAGACGCAGTGAGTCCATCTACGTCTGCATTTTTACCAATAGATGCCATGGATAAAATGAGGACTCCAAATTCTAATTTTGGTGACATTGTTGATAGGTGAAAGGGTCAAGTATGGAAGCCGTCAGAGGCAAGTCAGCCAAACATCCTTCTGATCAGTTTTCTACGAGTGAAAAGGATTGTTTTCTCTGCTGTGTTGATGATTTAAAAACAGGTGAAAAAAAGAGGATTTGTGTTGGTTGTAATACTCATTTAGCCCACAACTAAAATAACTAACCAGCACGCCGCTGGTAATTCTTTTCAAAACGCGCCATTGCTTCCATTTCAGCCCGGTAACCTTTGGATTGGCACAGGCTCTGTCTTTCAGACAGAAAACCCCACTATGACACCGGAGGCCATAATCCTCATGAATATTTTGGAAAATAATACAGAGTGTTTTCTCCGGCCTAGATTCCGTTGGGTCAATACATAGAGGAGCACTTCACTGAGGGGCGGGCCAAGGAGCTGATCGACAAGTTCCAAGCAGAACTGAAGGTGATTGAGGAGCACATCGTGAGTCAGAATGAAGGACTGGAGCTTCAGTACCTTTTCCTCCTGCCCAGCCGGATAGAAAACAGCATCACCATATAGAGACCAACAGACCCCATTTGCTCAGGTCCTCATTGGAAAAAATTACATTGAGTGGCAAGTTTGATCATGTTTTTCATTTTAAAAAGTAGTCCCGCATTGTTATGACCATGGCCCCGTTCCTCGTACGTGGCTAACTGAGCTAGCTGGATAATTTTGATGATGCTGCTGCTGCTGATAAGATGATCAGGCTTTTTGGTTCACCGAAGCAAATTTGGCTAAATCACCATAGCAACACATCCAACAACTTGCTTCCATGCAGGTTAATTTGAGCCAGCTGGATTAGTTCGCCACTCCCCCGGAAAAAAGGGCAGCTCTCTTCCTCATCGATGAAGGAGCGATATCAGTCAGAACGTTTTATAAATCAGAGATCCGTTATGACATGACGGTGACGTCCTGTACGAGCGCCATCGATGCTGAAGACAAGAAATCATTTATTTACAAGAAGACCTTCTGGAGCCAAAACGTTACACCAACACCACACGCTGCAGCACAGCATCGACTGGCCAACAGACTCACACACTGTCTCTCAAACTGTCTCACACACCGTCTCTCAAACTGTCTCTCATATGGTCTCACACACTGTCTCTCATACGGTCTCACACACTGTCTCATACTGTATAGTATATGTTTGTTTATTTGGTGCTTAATAAACTTCTGGATGTTCCATGTTTCACTGCTTCAATTGATAAAATCAGATCAGATATATACACACACACACACTCACACTAAAACTCCTAGTTCTATTTGGCCATTGACTCATATTTATACACATATATACGATACTTAAGTGCATAGATCCTCATAACAATTCATTTGTATCTATTAGACTTTTTGAGCTCGTTTCTATCTACTTATGTTGAGATCATTATTCACATTTGATGATGGTGCATTCCAGAAAGCCTCCTGCCAGCAGCCACATTTAAAGAAATATAATCTGATTGATGAGGCACTTAAAACGAGCCTATACATTTTCCCAACACTTACGCATTCAACTTGTCTGCAATACTTTGTCAGCCTTGTAGCCTCGCAGTGGAGCGGTGTCAGTTTTTGCCATGATTATTAGATTAAATTTATTTTATTGTCTACGGCACAAAATCCCAAATTTGCCTCAGAGGGCTTTACTGGCTGATGTACACATGTGACATCCTCGGCCCCAAAACCCTCACACAACATTCAAATACGCATATTATCTCATTATTGCGTTAATGACCTTCTCCTGCTCATCAGCGCTGGTTTTGGTGATCAACTCTTCCGCCTTCTAACGGACGCACACCCGCGATTATCCTGATGACGGACATCTGGTTCAAATTAACGAGACTGTTTAGAGCGCGGATCAGCCTTTGAGGAACCGAGATAGCCTGATGTTAATCATCTCGTTAATTTGAGCTGATAACGGGACATTTGATCGACTTCGTTGAACCACGTAGAGGAACAGGGCCCATAGATTAGTCACAACTACACCCGTTTGTGTTGAAAAGCTGGGAAGTCATAAAAATAGCTTTGAAGAAGTGCAACATCCGAGCTGGTGGTAAATAAACAGTGTAATCGAGCGGACTCAGTGATGAACACACCTTTAATGGTTGAAATGAATGCTGGGCATTGGAATAAGGACAGAATTCAGAATATGATTTCAACATTCCACACAGACATTACTGTACAGCACAGCAAGTATCAAACCTGGGACACAATCATTTACAACAACAATCACTGTGAACATTAACAAATATTAGCGTTCTGGGATTTGGGGGGGATTTTTCTCATACAATTTTGGTGGCATCCCAATATAGTCGTTGGGCGCTCCTCGGTCCAACAGGTTAGTGCACCAGGTACGCCTGGCAAAGAACAAGACAAACAATGAAGACAAAACCATTTTTAATACATCTTAAATCAGTTTAAAATGATTATTTAAATTGCTTTAAAAAAATACCTACATAGTATATGATTGCTACCTTGAGTTTGATCATATTTCAAAGGGAACATATCAATCGCATATATACACGTTAATACTTCAGGTTCTGCACGTTCACGTTTTGCTGTAACTCTCAAATATCACATTATTTATTTTTTTGTCTATCTGAACATCCCGTGAACCCTTCTCGTAAATGTGTCGGTCCCTTTAGGACCAATTTGTTCTAATTGACTGCTGAGTAAAAAAAATGGTGCATCTTTATAAGGGCGTAGTTATCCAGAATGTCAGCGGTATTTCTAATGAGCCGGCATGTGACGTTAGAAGCAGGATTAGTGGAATCTGAATGACTTTTTGGGTCATACGAGTTTTCTGCTCTGGACACAGGTCCACCGCGATGTCTCAACGCTTCCTCAAACTCACAGCTGGTTGCTGTTAGATTTGTATGTTCAAGGTTGAAAAGTGTTTTTTTAATAAAAGAACAACCACAAAGCCAAATAGATGGAGTCACCTTCTGCTTGTTGAGCCTCAGCTGGCAGCAGGAGAAGACTGCAAACACGATGTAGATGGCGGCTGCTATGAAGCAGTTGTAGCCCACCTTGTTGTACAGGGCGTAGATCCTCTCGGGGTTCCCACTGGGGCACGCGCACACACACACACACCATTAAAACCTACCAAGCAGTGCACTTGAACTTGATCCCTGCCAGATCATCAAATTGCAGTAACACAGGTTAGCCTCCGCTAGGCTGCTGTGACACGCCCCCCCCCCCCAGCGACGGGGACCTGATTGATAATCAAAAGTTCTTTTCATGGGCTTAGTTGGGGGTTCGCTGTCTTGTCTTGATTTAAGAGTTAGGTAAGAAGCAGGATGACATGAGTCTGACAGGATGGGGAGTCAGTTTATGTCCTGGCGGAGGAATGTAAGGTCTGCGGGTCAACTAGCAGATTTACCAGCCAAAGGAGGGTTAGAGACACACCAACACTATTCAACATACACACTCTGTTCGCTGATGTTTACGTTAAGTCAGGAGTCTGGACATTGGATGTGACCAGATCTTTAGATGCGGGAGGTGGAAGGTCCTCCTCTACGCCAGTTTAGGGCCAATAGAAATCTTTCCTTCTCTGTCTTTCAAGGGTTATAAAACATGATGTTCTTGCTGATGTTAGTGAGTTGTTCTTCCGGCCTGTGTGCTGCCTGAACTGCTCCTGCCTTTGCAAACGCAGCGCTGATACTTGACCTGTGATCTGACAAATACATTTTCCAGAACGTGAGAAGTTATTCGGCTGAATTTTTGATAACCCCGACCAGGCTCCAAATCTTGAACACGTATTCTTACATGATCCAGCCCCGATATTAACCAAAAACTGACGAGAATGTCATAAGGCTGCAATGTCATTCTGACCGGTCACACTAAAAAACAAAAGCGGGTGAGATCTGTGGCCAGATCCGACCCACCCTGCGTTCAGGTGGTGGACAGACGAGGCATTAAGCCGGAGCATGGCCAAGCCGATCAGGACTGAGGTGTGATGGCCTTACTCTTGGTAGATGCTGTGGTTCATCACAGGAACATCTTCTATCAGTACCGCTGAGTGTGTGATGTAGAAGATCCCCAGCATGGCCTGAGGAGGAGAAGCAGACTCGTGAAGTTTAGATACTGAACTGAGATTCTATGAAATTAACGCCCTAAATTAGTAAAAAATAACATACCTAAAAATATAATTTGAGGATCGGTATGAGATCAAGACCGAAGACCTGAAGATTATGACTTATTCCTAAATAATCAGGATAATGCATGATGTAAATATTTAAATACATCACCCTTAATTTGGTGATGCAAAAATGTTTCTATTAAACCATTACAACCGAATGTGAACCTCCTTTAACTTTACTGTTTCCTGCAGAAACTAAGTGTGATTTAGAGATGATGGTGGATTTTAAAGGTCTTTTTGGAAGTCGTAATTTAGAATAGTTGCACTACCACATTTATAGAACAATGATATGGACTTGAAAAAAAATAAGAAAATGGTGCCTTTTTTCCCCAACAAGGTTATCAGCGAGGAACACAATTAAAATTAAAAAACCTCATGATAGACGACGTCCTCTTTAGACACAAACTAGGTTTGTTTGAGATGAACTCTGGTCCATCGGGCACGATCACCGAGGAAGAAACAAGAAAAGAAACGCTTTAAGAACCCCACTCACCAACATTATGACCCCCCATGTGCTCAACACAAGCCCACACGCGGCGAGTTTTGGTCCACAAATCAAGCCACGCATTATTAACCTCTGCTCTGCAACCCAAGAAAGTCGACTTGCTGCTCCGACATGGGTCACTTGTTCTGTCAGATGACTGTGACTGGACACCCCGGAAGTGCCCGGATTAGTCAGGGACTTGGAAAACTTGTTCGCTTTTCAATAAAGTTAATTACAAACACCGTTCATCGTTCAGAGAGATACGTAATCCGTTGCGACTCGTATTACGGGTGCCAGCAAGTAACAACGCGCGCTCCTTGAGACGCTTAAGTGAAGTGAATGGTCGGGATGGCAAATCATACAGCACGTGACCGTCGGTACAAAAGTCACGTGTCTTGCATATCGCTGATGCTGCATTCACGTCATGCCGGTAGAATAGGAAAGAAGAGTAAACCACAACATACTGTACAACATATTAATAGCCTAAGCATCTACTTTTGTGATGTTGGAATTATTATTAAGTGAACCCAGATACAAACCGTGTATATGTTCTATCAAATCACCTGAATGGTTTGCATTTGAATACATATTGTATGCTGTTTGGGCTGAAATCAATTACTTAAATGCTCAGCCCACACAGTCCATTTTAATTTGTATTTTATGTATCTTTATTTTTGTTGTTCCTCTGACTACTGACTTTTAAACACAGCATTTTTCCAATGTATTCCAGTTGCAAGTATAATAAAGTGAAAAAAATAATACAAGGGCCCTCAAAGTGCCTTTGGGCGGGTTGTTGTTATGTTGTAAATATGTATATTACCAGTAAATTTCCCTTGAACGGCTGCAAAAGTATAATTCTTAACTTGGGAAACGTTAATGTAGTGTACAAGATGTAGAGCTTGTTAACTTTGGTGTTGAAATGGAGGCTGTGAAAGATGAATGAATGAAAAGGGTTGTAGGTAGTTTGACATCCAATCCAATCCTAGAGCATGATAATATTGTATTATATTATAGCATACTGTCAATGAGTACACATAGATTCTTGTCCACCGCGCATGCGATTGATGGCTGCTATAATTTTGAAGTTTGGTGTGTTAAGTTCCCGTAGGTCTTTTCAGTACTAAGTCCCAAAGGCTTTCAAAATGACAGGATTATAATCGAAAAAACTTCAATTGATGGCTGGTTGCAAGCTCCTCAATGCAGCACCCTCATGGTTATTTGTGTAACGCCATTCATTAATTTCAAGATTTTACTGTCTGCTTATTGAGCAATACAATAAACCCTAAAACTTCCATCGCTTACTTTCAATTTCCCTAACGTCTCAAACATTTGGCGCTATGAAGAGAATCACTGAACGTGGAGATTACGAGGAAACTTTGAAGGCGGCACCCTCCATGTCGTTGTACTCAGTGACGTGACCTGGTCCGATCTGCCTCCGGTTTTAACTTTATCCCTGCAGATTAAAACCCGCAATAAAACGATGCAGCGTTTGGTTCAAACGTTGGACATATTTCAGCACCGACACTGAAAGCGGCGGAGGAGAAGATTCCTCGATACCCAGCTACATCATGAGGAGAGCCCCGTGCTAACTTAGCTAGCTAGCGGCACGGTTAGCATCTTAGCGGCTGCCCCGTCCACTTGAAGGCACAACTGAGGCTGCTACAAAGACTGCATGCAGTCGTTGGTACCAAGGACACCAGCAAAATGACCTCAGCTTCCACTAAAGTAAGTCCTTATCTGACACAAAAACTAGAGACGTAACGATAGTTACCCGCTCGGGATAGCATAACCCGATAAGCTATAGTGTTTGCATCCTGCACGCAGAAGGAGCCCCTCAGTATTTTTCCCGCTGCTGCAGGTAGCAGCTTAACTGTGAATTAAAGGTCACCTGACCACTGACACGTGGATTCAGAGTGGTCCGATGCTTTGATCAGTTCTTTGTCTTCACTGCGTCCCGCAGGTCGGTGAGATCTTCTCCGCAGCAGGAGCTGCCTTCACCAAACTCGGAGAACTCACCATGCAGCTTCACCCAGTGGCGGACTCCAGCCCCACCGGGTAATGCGCACCCCAAATACCCCAGATACTAACAGAGAATGAGATGTTTGTAGGTGTGTACATGCTCCTCTTAACTGGGAGTGAATACTAAAGTCCGTTCAGTTCCCTTCCTCCCACCAGCGGTCAGAACAAGGGAACCGTGAAGAGGAAGCTGTACGAAGACGGGGCTCTGCCAGCCTCCTCGGACGGGCCCAAGAAGGTCATCAAGAAAAGCCTTGCCAATGTTGCCATGGCGACAAAGGGGACTCCATCCGTCATCTCTGTTCCCAAAGCTCAGGTTGCCATGGCGTCCGGACTACAGGGTTCCCCCTCCAGGCAGCACGCGCTGAAGAAGCAGAAAACCGGAGGTGAATGTGGAAAACTGCAACACATAACGTATTCTGTTATCAATGATCCAATTACTTCATCATCAAACCTGACCGTTACACAGCAGGTTTGTCTTTTTACCACCAACTGGCGGTCCGGATCGGGACCCAGAAGCTGTCTTATCGGGACCCAAACCTAAAGCTAAAACAGACGGTTGTGATTTAACCTAATGGTGTCCTAACCTGCGCAGTTACTTATACTTATTTTACTATACAGTAAATCTATTTCTAAAAATGATCGTGTAATGTATTCAGGTGATTTAAAGCGAGCGTTAGCTGCTTACCTCTTTGAGCCAAATACTGTTTTATTATGACAGTTAATGGTCTTAACCAGAGTCGGTGAAAGGACGCTGTTAGAAATATTCTCACTCAATGGTGTAGAATATTTAATGTTTGTTGACACACAAACGGGTCATGCACCAAGCCTACTCGAAGGTCTTCTCTTCTCACAGAGCCACAATAGATACTTGAGACATGGTATCAAAAACACAGGGAGGGTTGCACACGTAGTTGTTGTCCGGGGAAATACATCTGATCATCATGAGACACTGAGTGGCCTTCTTGACACCGGAATCTTATCTCCGCTGACAAGTCGTACACACCGAACAAATCCGACGTAGTCTTGTTGTTTAATCTAAACCCCCTTTTTAATCATGACATGACGTTATTTGCCGTTTTCCCAACAGAAGCTAACGCCGGTTTAATCAGGCGACGTCCATCGTCATTGTAAACATTGTTAAACATTGGTCAAAGGGTCCCCAAAATGACCATCTATGCTGTCAACATATCTGGGAACTCAATTCTAACCTTTCACAATAAGATATCCTGCTTCAACACCTCCAGATAGCGCAACAAAAGCTCTTTCATCATTGCCTGACCGCCGCCCGAGTGAGTCTTACTACCATCTCACATCAAAGTAGCTTTCCTGCACTAGTTACTCGTGTAAATGTTTCTATATATACATATATATATATATATTGAGTCACATATATATATATATATATATATAAATACACATTTATGAATTTACATTACTAGCGTTTTCAAGGAGATTAACGGAAAAATGACAGGAAACTGTGTCAAATTGCGTATGTCCAGGATGGTGCAATGCTGCTAGGACACCATTCCATTAAGACCCGACTGGGCACTTTTCAACCGGCGCAGCTTTGTCAGTATTAACCGTAGTGCTTAACGCACAGACAAATGTGTTGGAGTTAAGGCATCCCATAAGATACTCAATACTCGACCACCAGGCCGGTTCTGGTCACTTGGTTCCAGGCTGCTGAGAAACGGACAAAAAAAAAAAAAATATCATCTCATCTAGCACCACTGAGCTAATAATGTCTACAATACCACGGGCTCACCGTGTGTGTGTGTGTGTGTGTGTCTGTGTGTGTGTGTAGATGTGACCCTCAGTGCTCTTAACGACTCAGATGTCAACAGTGATCTTGTGGACATCGAGGGACTGGGGGAAGGATCCAACTCCAAAAAACTCAACAACTTTGATCAAGGTGAAGTTTCTGAATGCATCAAACAGTTGGGGGTGTAATGTGGGAGGTGTTTTGATTAAGACACACATGTTTACTGTTTCTGGTTTATACCTAGTAGCATCGTTAACAATGAAGGATTTAAAAACATGTAGCGGCTACTCGCTAGCTCTGTCACATATTAGGAATCTAATTGGTTACTTACTCCCCATAGAAAGTCATTGGGTTGTTTTGTTTCGTTGCACATCCTCTATGAATCTACAAAAAAGATTGTATGTATCCTTCACTTCCATCAACGCACACACACACACACACACACACACACACACCCTGTATTTTATTGTGACTCAATGCCACAGACCTGTCCTGATGCCTCACAAGCTTCACAAAGCACCAAATGTTGATTCTTCTGCTGAAAATAACCCCCAACTATCGCACTACTTCCTGTAATGTTCAAAACTACAGTGACTAACTGTCTTTTGGAATTGCTGAGCATTTAAAATAGAAAGCTGCAACCACATGTCGTTGAGCTGTGCACTCGGCGGGTGAGTAGCTTCCGACTGCTCCTTAAGTACCAATGTTAAGTGTTGCTGCTTGGTGTCTCCACAGATAATCTGGACTCGGGCCTCATCATGAACTCTGGTGATCTTTCTCTGCTCTCCCGTTGACCTTTATACCTTCTGTGGACTTGAAATGATGGACTCAGAACTATGAAAATAAGAGCGTAACTGGACTTCTCATTTGAGCCAGAAGATGCTTGAGTTGTGTGTGGTGTCAGACTCCTCCAATCCTACGCCACTCCACAGTTGTTGGCACCAACTTTTTTTTTTTTTTTTTACTGCAATCTTTTTTTAATTGAGAACATTCCCTCTCCTTATTGAGTTTAGATGTGGGTACGTCCAGAAAATCCCAAAAGACCCAGAACAGCAAGGGAGGCCTTCCAACACAGGTACTTCCTGTGTTTTTTTAAAAAGTCAGGAAAACCAACAGAACGCTGCAGAGGAATGACGCCTTTCTTCCTGATGCACCCGATGGAGAGGCAGGTCTTTGTCTGAACTGTGTAAAACATTTTACTCCATTTCATGTTCAATTCAGTTGTGCAAAAGTTTGATTCAACTGATTCTGTTTAGGTCAAACCTATTGCACTAGTTATTAGAGTATTTAGAACAAAAAACCTGATTGCTTCTGGTATATTTTTAATGTAGGAATTTGATGAATTCCTTCCTTCCTCTTAACCTGCCATTAAAATGTGTTGGAGTAGAAAAGACAATAGAAATCTGATCCACTTTTCATTGCAGTAACGGGGCTTTTTGTGACATTTTACGGTGTGTAAGCACATTTTTACATGACTTTGCTCACATGCTGGAACTCCTGTTTCTTCAAACTACATCACACTGACGCCTGAGAAGAACCTCATACAAGTGCACTTCAAATTATTAATAATACTCATTTCTGAGAGATGGTAACTTGAGATAACTTGCCTCCTTGTCTTCAGAAAGATATTAACACAGTGAATACAGCGCACTGTTTAGTGTGTCGTTGGCAGCGGCCCATTGACCGCCTCCTTCGCTGCTGCATTGCGATACGCTGGCTAACTAACGCTAATTGCTGTTTTGAAGTAAAACCTATAAACGAAGGTTGAAGTCGTGCATTAAAATTCTTCTTAGAGTGAGTACGGGCCCTTTTGTAAACGACTAGGAAACACCCGGCGACCCGACCACAGATAAGCAGTTAAAGATGAGATGAGACGTAGGAAACATCTCGGCATCGTTACAAAATGTGAAATATCTAAACGCCTGTTTGGGGCCCACAAGCAGCTGCCCACCTTGCGGTAAAGTGTGCCGCAATGAACCAATGAATGTGGTTTAATGAGACTTTGGTACTTTAGTTTATTCTTTCTCTAACCAGGAATGTTGGTGTTTTCCATACAAAGGGAAACTATTATCAAATTATTAAATGTCCTGCGTTCAAATTTATTTCAACAAACATTTTTTCATTTCAAAAGTGAAAGGTAAGCGGGGCCTTCTCGGCACCCTGTACTATATATTTAACTCAGGTAGAACCTTTAATTCTAATATGATGTTGCAAAGTTTCAGTAACATCAAAGTCCAATCTGAAACTACAACATAAACAGTAAAATATACTAATGTCCAATTCTCCCCTAATCACTTGTAATGTATTAATCACGGTTAATACATTTTTGGAAATCCTCTATGGGTTCATATCTTTCTGAAAGCATTCGCTGTGGTTCATATAGTTTCCATAGCAACTGTAATAATAAAAGCCCATAGTTAACTGGACGTGCATATCAAATTAGAAATGTAAAACGATATGATTTAGTTCTTCGTTTTAAATAGCCCACAGGTGATACCTGAAATTAATTCATGGTATAGTGTTGGCATGGTTACAACCCTATAGTTCAAACGCGACATGTCGACTAAAATTAATAAGTAAAATCTCATTGTAGTAGGACACCAAAAAAAATATTTGGGTATTTCTGCACGTTGTATTTGATGTCTTTGTGACATTAGACTCACACATTTGAATCATCGTTTAAGTTTATACCAACACAAAATACCTGTGTTTCCCGACGTCTTCTTTTGAATGTGTTCATTGACATAATTACACACATTATGGTATATGAAGGATGTAGGCCATGTATGATATTAGTTTCAAATGGTTTTAATTGAGCAGCATTTACAGAAATACCTTCTGTAACGTGTGGGCACAAACACTGTTTGACGCTAATGTTCAGCTTTTTTGTTTGATAATTTTGTGGTGTAGAAACCGTTGATTGCCTGATTCCCCGTTCACTGTAGAGTACTTTACATCTGCTGACAAAGACCCGGAGACGTGTCCTGGTAGAGTAAGTAGATCTTAACGGTTTCTTCCTTTTCCCCTCAATACTTGGAGAGTTCTTCCTGTGAGGGTTTCAGAACAGGAGATGTCGCATCGGTACAATAAGTAAAGTCCTCTGAGACAAATTTGTAATTTGATTTTGGGCTATACAATATAAAATTGCTTAATTTAAAAACATGAATAAAAGGCATTATTTGTATTTCTGCTGAGAAATAATTCATGTTGACACATCAGCACCTTGGAATGAGAATTACCTTCCGTTCCTCACGCGAGAAGAAACCTTGAGGATGAAAGTCTCCTTGGTCCAGTTTGAGATCCAATTGTCAGGTACAAAGAAGGAGCCGACGTCTTCGTTTTTAAATATTGGGCTTTTATTCATGGTCATACATGTCAACACGTGATGATGAGTGTCTGCTGATGAAGAGGATTGTGCGTCTGGGGGCAGCAGCACATATCATACTGGTACCACAGAACCACTACCAGTAATGATGTGCTGCTACGGCGCGACGCACCGGCACGCTGACGCCCTCCTGCTGTCTGCTGAGGACGCAGGAAGTAAAGGACACGAAGCCATCGGGGGGAAAGTCCCGTGATCAGATATAACCCACAGATCCACAATGAACACGGGCGGTCGTCATCATTTCCTCCAGATAATCCCCCACCAGTAGATGAAGGAGAAATTAACTGATGGTGTGGCTCAACTTTCTTATTCTAAATGTTCTTAATGTTCCAGGTTTCATTTCATTCATCCCTTAAAACAAGTGACCACATCAGCCAATGACATGCAGTCAGATTTTATGATTTCAATACACGGTTACTAGTTTGTCCTTATTTTACTTTTGAAGTTGTTCATGCAGAGAACGTGCTGAAAGAAGATCACCAGCACTCAAACCCTCGCTATTGTAAAAGAGAAAAGAAAAATTGAAATACTTCATTAATGTGTTTTTGAAGGAGAGTGCAGAAGCAGTGCTGGGAGGACCAGCAGTGGGGACACTGGGATGCGTCCTACTGGGAATCCCAGGGCTCACGGTGGCAGCACAAAATGATTTGGAGCGATTCAGCATGAAATCTGCAAAACATGATGTGCTGCTAGAGTGCCCCCTGAGACAGGACTCCGTCAGGCTACACCCGGACACTTGAAGGGGACACGTCGGTCAGGAGTCTTCAGTCGTTACTAGTTTGGTCGTGTTCATTTATTACTATCAATTACAAACGTATTTCATCTTCCACAACAACACCGTGGTATCTTAAGCTAAATATATAATACGTGCTTATTAGCTTGAAATAGTTTTTTTTGTCAGCTTACGTCAGTGTAACATGCCGTGCTGAATAACAGAATTAATGTAATTATTCTCAGGATCAACACAGTTGTTTTTGAATATTCTGTATCATCTGTATGGGAATAATACCACAAACAAAATGGTTGAAAAGAACAAAATGGAGGAAGAAAAAAAGCAGAGGTGGAAGTGAAGAATAGATGAGACACAGGGCTTATCTTCTCTCTGTTACCGTAGAACAATGGGATCAAATCTGCATTTATGTTCACCACTAACATTTACAATTGTGAAATAACAGAATCTGCCTCTTTCCTCTTCTTATTTTCGTTCATTTGAGTTTAATGAGCCTGACAGATTAACCTGCTTAATTTTGTGTTGGGCCCATTTCCCATATTACCAAAATCCCTGTTATTCTCCTTTTCTAAATATATTTTTATTCACAAAGAACACAAACAAATTGAAGTGGAAAGCTATACAAATTAAACCACTGATATGTCTCTATAGCCGAGGAGAATTCATATTTGAATACTAAAAAAATAATCTGAATCTTTTTACTGGAGGGATTATTTGATTTTTTAACAGGGTTATATTGTTTGTCCATGATTCCAAGATCCTATATATATATATATATATATATATATATATATATATATATATATATATATATATATATATATATATATATCATTACCTCCTATAGTATCTTGTCATACTGCTGACCTCTATGGCAGAATTGAAAGTAATGTCTGTTATTTCTAACAACTTTATTTTTAATTAATTAAAAAAAGTGGCCACCAGAGTGACGTCTTTTAAGGTATGGTTTCATTGGATAAAATAGATTCTATTAACATGAAATAAAGAAAAAAAAAAAACATCACATTATTATGTGATAAATGTAAATGAATGAATAAAAGTATCCAAAAATATAAAAGGCCTATATATAAATTTGATTTTGAAGCAAAGGGGCTCCACAAGCAGTCATTTTAAAGGCACATTAAGGGAAAAGCAGAGCTGAGCCACGAGTGCAGAATGCAGCAGCTCCACCACACAGTCCAAGAGCTTCTCTCATAGAGCGGAGCCGTCTGGGGGCCAATAAAGAGCTTCACAGCAGAATGGAGCCCGGCTGTGTGAAATAAAGCTGTTGTTTTTTTACTGTACAGGTAAAATAGTCTTTCATATTCTTTTAATTTATTTACATTTCATAGGTATATCGTAATATCATACAATTTCTGGGAAATCAATTGAGAAATGGTTAATAGATCAAATTCCAGAGTCTGCTTTAGAGTACTTGACAAATGAAGTCGGATAATTTAAAAGGGAATATATAAAAAAAAAACATAAATCTAGTCTACCATATCTGGTTTAAGGGACAGACAAAAATAACAATGTTTGTTTATTTATATAATGACTTTTTGTCAGACATAGCCAAATGTAACATTTTTACTTGACAAATGACATCAATAAAAATAGTGATATTTTCTATCGTTTGACATGAATAGCTCATTTCAACATCAAACTTGACTATAAATAGCATTAGTTGGGCTGCAACTAACCTTTGGTTATATTAGAAATTCATCTGCACATGTCTTGATTAACTCAATTATTCTCAAGATATCAACAAAATAATGCAGAATTCCTAAAGCAATGTTTTTAAATGCGTGTTTGGTCGAACCAGTGGGCAAAAATCCAAACATGTTTAATTTTGAATGATATAAGACAGTTCAATGCTCATATTTAAGAGACTTAAACCAAATTGTTGTTGCCCAAACATGTATCAATTATCTAATTAGAATGGTCAATGAATTAACAGTTTTTTCCACAATGACATGCAATAGATACAGTGTAAATTAGATGTATAATGTGACTCCAAACCTGCTGCCTTTGTCTACTGCAAAGCTGAAACAACATTTGAGGCCAGGAGAGGAAGGATTCATGGCCCGTGATCACCACACCTGACTGTCAGCCACAAAGTAAATAACACAAAATCAGGTACACTTCCAAAAAATTCTGATCAAGAATATAAACATTTGAGACAAGTCTAGATGGCATGAAGTGGTTAAAGCTGTGAATGCAGCTTCACGCAGCCACACAGTCGATGTGATGGAAGCTGATTGGATTCAAGAACAAGAGGTCATGTCAGCAAGGAGAGCAGCAAACAGACACGCGTTACATTCAGCCCCAAACCGCCAGCCTCATCAAGGAAAAAACACAGAGAGAGAGAGAGAGACAAAGGAGGGGTGAGGGAGAGAAGGCAAAAAGAGCACAACTTTACTGTAGTGGAGAGAAAAGAAGAAGAAAGAGGCAACGCAGAGCTGAGAGAGGCTCTCGTTCTATTAACAGCAACAGAGGCCATTTTAAAGGGTCCAGGAAGAAAAGAAAATAAAGATTCACTTACCGTCTGCTGCTGAGATCATTTGCAACTGATGGAGGCACTAAGAACACCAGTTACCTCCAGGCCCATCTTTCTCCCCTCACTTTGGATGCTATGACCAAAGGGCAGGGGACACGACACCTCAGTGACAACAAACCACACACAGAGACACACTCCACTGAGACACAGATATTCAAAGGAAAAAACCAGGAAAAGCCGCAGGCTTAGCAAAAAAAAGAAACAAGAAATTAGCACTCCATACAACCACATGTCAAAGGGAAACCAGAGAAGCCAGTCTACTATGGTGACAGGGAGAAAGCAGTAAAAAGGCCCGTTTAGGAGTTTCTGGTTCATCCTGCTTCTGTTCCTAGTAAGAAGGGGGGTGTTGTCAGGGGGGGTTTGGGGGTGTGTGTGTGTGTGGGGGGGGGGTGGGGGGTCTGGTCGCAAAAATTGAGCCCCCCCCCTTCATCCTTCCTTCCTTCCTGGCCCTTCACAGGTCGACCTCCTGTCTCTGAGCGCGTGTCCCGTCCTCCTCGGTGCTGCCTGCTGCTCGCTGGAGCAGCTCCGCACACTGAGGCAGCGACGAGGCTCAGCGGGCATAAAAACCTACGGGGCTGCAGCCTTTTTCCCCGGCCATCACTTTCTACAATACTTTCAACATTTTGCGGGGCGCCAAAAAATCTGGAAAAAAATGGAGGGCCCCCCCTTGGTGTGTTAGGGACAGGTGCAAAAGGTGGGGTCCGACGGAGCCACCGTAGGCAAGTAAAAAATGAAATTGTATAGGAGGGCGAGAGGGGGGCCGCTGCGCCTCTGCCGAGCTCTGAGCTGTAAGCCTGCCAAGCAGCTCTGCTGTCAGAGGGGGGCGGGGGGGAGGCGAATAAAATGAAGAAAGTGTGGCTCTGGGAGGAAGCGCTCTGCGCTCTCTCACAGTTTGAGGAGTTCGCTCCTCGCGGGTAAAGTTGCAGAATTAAAAACCATAAACCACAGCAGAGGTCCGAAGGGGGGGGACGCTCATAGGCCGAGACGCAGCAGGAACCGGGGGGGCCGAGCAGAGGCGCAGGTGGGCTTGCAACGACATGAGGTTCAGTGCACTGAAGTCGAGCTCTGCATATCTTCTCGTGTCACTCGGCCATGAGATGGGAGCCGTCTCTCCGACGGCTGAAAGTGCCGTTCTCAAACTACACTGCTTTACCAGGAGGACACGGAGGCCCTGCCCCCCCCTGCTGTTACGCATGCACGCGCGCACACACACACAGCTCTGCGCTCAGTGTCTTGGTTAAATTAAAGACACAAGATTGGACTGAATTGTGTCGCTTTCCTCAGTATAACACCCGTTACCACAGAGAAGCCCCTAAAGACATCCGTGCTCTAGAAAGGATTTACACACAGTGTGTGATAAAGATCACAGGGCTGGAGGCTGACCCCGTGCTATCAGTGTGATAATAAAGGCATGGCATTAAAACGGGCTGCTATTACTACACGCTGAACCTCAAAGCTTTTTAAGCACCAGTTAATGACTTCTAATCACAGACTAACTTTGGTCAAAGGTTTGAACTGAATACCCACAGCCAAATTTTTACTATACTTATATAATTTCCTGATTTGAGTCAATATGTTGTTCATTTAATGTGTCGTTTTATTTAGGTAAACTTGTATGTCTGAGGTTTGGTCAATTTTGTCATGAGCAAAAAGAAAAATAAGGTGTTGACTGAACAAAGTGAGTCATTGATATATGAAAATAATTTCAATACCCAGCTCCATTGTGCTCCTTATCTTTAAACTGCTCTGGTAAAATGCTAATTAATAGACCACACAATTTTATTTTATAATTTTTTTAAGTTATTTATCAAGCAGAAATACTACATCAGGTTGAAAGTGAAGATTTGCTTCTTTTTTTCCATTTGATATCATTTTAAAAGTGAATATTTGTTAAGTTTTCACGGATAGTCGGACTGGAATCTGCACACGTCACATCAGCGTCTGGAAAACTGGAACGGGAATTTTTTTTCTTTTTCTGGCATATATAGACTACATGACTAATTGTAAAAAAAATACACAGATTAATTGATAATATAAAATAACTTCTGTTCTAAACGGCTCTGTTGATTAGATCCTTGATACAAAAAATATGTATATTTTTTGCTACACTATAAAGGTAAAAGTCTGTTCAGTGAACATCCCAACACGGCAGGTTTAATAAATAATTAAATGAAATGCTACATTTCATGCTCAACACAGTGAAGACAGTTCTGAAAAGAATTACAAGAATCCTCCTTGGCTGTCCTATGGTCATTTAATGTTATTGCCTCCTCTTCATTACTTGTAAATATGATGTAGCATTGAAACAAGCAGACCATTAGTTGTTGATAGGAAACAGATGGATGGAAATTTTGATGATTGCCTAAGTTCAACAAACATTCTGTTGTAAAGTCATTGATTTGACTGTGAATGCCCCTTGTGGTTATTGTTCTATTAAACGATAATAATCATTATAACATCTGATCAATATTAGACACGCATATGCTTCCACGCACTTACCATTGTTACTTTTCAAATTGGCTGCATTGCTTTACTTCACTGAACACGGCAGTATTGTCCTTATTATGTGGTGTTGTACTTCCACAGTGTTACCAAACCAAAGCCAGGCGGCTGCTTTACTATTTAACACTTTGCTGGAGAATTACCTACACTTTTATTAAACCATGCCAGTGTTTCATAATGGCCTCCAGCAAGTGTTGTTCTATTTTTTTGTCGGACTAATATATGAGAGAGGCTGTAATGTAATTATCAGTACGGCTTTCTGTGCAGGACACCCTGACGTAAGGTTACATCGGGCTCTGCGCACCTGTAGCGCGCGCGGATACGTGGAGCTGCCGTGCAGTCCGCCAGCACGGTGACGTCACTGGCAGCTTGACAGAAGGGCAACTAACTGCTGACTCAGTTTTTCTCCGTCCGTCGGAGCTCCGTCGTTCACAAACCGAACCGATTTGAACTAGTTTGGCAGCGTAATTCAGTCTGAGGCAGATGCAGCTGTGTTTTTTTATTTCTTTATTCGGTTAAAAGTGTTATTTCGAACCGTATTTAGTAGGCAGTGAGCGGCCAGTGGGCTGGGGTCTTTCGGGGAGGGTGCTGGCACTGGGGGAGTGTCCGCTTCCTCAACTTAATCAGTTATCTCCTAAAACTCTTTTGTTCAGAAATATAAAACAATTCATTCCGTATTAATGTTAGCCTATGCAACAAAACTTCTTAGCTTTTTATTTTCAACCGAACAACCGGATTGTGGAAAAGAACAAAGACGCGGCGGTCCGACTAAAGAGCCACGTAGAGCTCCGCTGGTTACTGCGACACAGCCTTTGTCTTAAGCAGCAGGTCATTATAAGCCACTACGCAGGAGGCTACACCACGTACTTCTGTGTTCTGTAACACAATTCACCCGCTTTCCTTCACTAGAACTAAAGAAACCCCTAAAAGGGTCTTAATTAGTCGCACATATGAATAAAAGCATACAAAACTAAGTCAGACATAACATTTGAGAATAAATGGCAAAAATTTTAAAGACGGGATTTACTTACCTTTCAGGGAAAAAACGGTCCAAACGTGAAATTGTGTTAAGATATTCCTCACCCTATATTAATGATTAAAAGGAGAAGTAAGCTGGTGGGAAAATGTATTTGAGCCGGACTCTCATTCTGTGTCAGTGGAGGATTTGAAAGTGGCGCCAACAGGCTCGGCTCCTCGTCTCCCCACACAGCCGTCACACACACAAAAAATAAATAGAAATTCAAACGAGCGCGCAGCAATATTTCACCCGTATCAAAATGTGCCTACCGACCAGCACAATCGACCCATGTCGTTACATTTTAATAATATCGCTCCTGTGATTTTTATTTATTTTTTATGTTTAATTAAAATAACCGTCACAGGCTTTTCTCTGCCGCGGTGCAGGACGGGAGATTGTGCAAGGCGGTTGTGTTTTGAATATCTAACCGGTCTGAGAAGACGAGGACAGTGTCTCCCCCTGCGGGGACCGTGCGCGTGTGTTTTTACGAGGGTGTTTGTGCGTGCGTGTGGGTTTCATGTAACTGCGCAGTACCTTTGTAACTATTTGTACTTGTCGGACAAAACTTTATACATTAATATCAAGTGCGTGTATAGTTTAGATTTAACTAAAAGTACATTTCACCAAAAGAATATATTGACTGTGTTAACTGCAAGAGTGAAAAGTTGCACATTTTATATGTACCTGATGCAAAATAGAAAAGAAAGACAGGTGTAAGAAAACAATGATATACAATACAATGATATAACCTTGTAATACCTCTTACTGTAGATACACATATTGTATTGCCAGGACATGCTAGCTCATTGGAATTTAAATTTACTCTTTAATCCAGTCTAGAACTGCCATGTACAACCAATATCTTGGTCCTGTTCCAGAAAACTACATGACTAGTTAGTGAACACAATACGGCCCAGGACGAAGTGTTTGGACATTGCTTCTCTTTTGGTTTAGTGGTTTAGTGTTCTTCTTTGGCACTGTGAAATAATATATGTAATGTAATGTTCAGCTTCTCTGAAACCGTCAGTGTGGTCAACACCCATTTTCTGCCTCAGTGACATTTTTGATGCAACCACCAGATGGTGCCAAGATTAAACACATTCAGAATGCTTAAATGTTCTATATAGTTCCAGTAACAGATTCAAAATCTTGAGCAGTTGTAGTGCATAATATAAATGCGTAATAAGCATTTCCATAACAGCTGGAAATGTGTAGAGAGAACAAGTTAGAATGCTTATGAAATTACTTTTATTTGGCTGCATCACAAATGGAGATGAGACAAGTGTCATATTGATAATCTATATAAAGAACGAAAAACTAAACAAATGTTTTGGTTAGGGTTTCAATTATAGCTGCAATTCTACAAAGAATATTAATTTAGTAAAAAACAAATAATTACTAAGTGGAGATATACAGCAATGGCCCACCGAGCTATGAATGAAGTCACTCTCTGTGGTTTACATAGCGTTGTTGGAATGGGTATAGAGGCATTATTTTGATTAATAGCTAGTGGTAAATTAAATAATTTACATCAATAGAATTAATAATAAGATAATTCACAAAATAAATAATGAGGCACCACTACTAAAAAGTGACTAATAACCAAACCACAAATCCAGTCTCATAATTGCTATTAAATCATTAGGAGCAAGGAATTGAAGGTCACTTTGTACACTGGCTATGTTTCCAGCCACCATCACAGTACGTATGCCCAGAGAAATCACAGAAAACTTAAGGGTTTATAAACCTCCAACAAAACTAAATCAGATCGATACCATTTAGCTGGAAGTACATGGCAGGCCGCGTGTGGCTAGGAGCTGGCAGAGGTACTGCTAAGAGGCTGTCTTTGTTCCACGTGTGTTCCTTGTACAGTTAAACCTTTGTCTGTAGGTACATCTGTATGTGTGGAGAGACATGTAGTAAATGATAATCCGAAAGAAAAAAAAGACTTACAGCAAAGCAGACCTTATCTGAACAATGCAATACACATCAAAAGAATAATAACAACACATGCTAATCTAACTTCTGCCTAGACATTACTGTCTATTGATAGGATTTGCTGTGTTTCCTCAAGTCTTGTCTAACTCGGCATCCCCTCGGCCCTTTGTTGTGGCGATCGACTGGAAATCATGAGAACTGTTGGGTTTCTTGGTGATGCAAAAGTTGTTCGTGCTTTCTAGCACGCAAGCTGTATCCAAGGGGGTAAAGGAAGCTTTCTTTCTTGTCGAGCTGCTTGGGCCGGTAGTGACGACTCAGGGCATCGGCCCTCTCTGGAGCAGCTAGAACATGGGTTTGGTCCGGGAAGCATTGGGTTGGAGAGGCCTAACCGCTGAAAGGTGGAGAGCCTGAATCCTTAATCCTGTCATCCATGCTAGTCAATTCGGAAAGTTTGTTTGAAGGAGATACTGTCATCTTAACCTATCATCGATGGCCATCGATTCGGAAGGTTTGGTTTGAAGAGATAGTCTTAACTTTACATCGACGCAAGTCGATTTGGAAAGAAATACTCAAGACATCTGATCGTCTGGACCTCAATCGATGCGAGTAAATTTGTAAAATAATTTTTTAGAGCGGCCTGAGCACCCCCGTGGTGTCTGTGACTTGATCAATCAGATCTCACAGCTGTTTCACCAAGAGAGAGACACCTCACCTAGGTGTGAGGACAAATGCATTCCAAACCTCAGCCCTTTTTAAGCTATGGCTCCCACCATAGCATAAAAAAGGATTACAGCTTGGTCTGTGTTGGAGCCATTCTGAATACGGCAATGGGATGGCACTGTTTTTGCCACCAGCCTATTTAACGCCAGGGCTAATTAGTGCAGGTGTGGCGCACAGCGAGGCAGATAACTTTTGACCGTGAGGCACGGCGGATTGGGAACCGAATTGTTTGTTATTTTTGTTTTAAATAAATGGATTGACATATCCGATGTTAAGTTCAGAAGTTTTTGAAAGTAAGTTATTTTTATTTTAAGACACAAACAATTCGCCGGAAAACACGAGTACAAAACAACTTAAATGTGCGCCAACAATTAGTCAAAAGTTTGGCTCAGTATGAGAAAAAGACCGATCAAGTTTAGACGGCACGATCATTGTGCTGTTTGAGCACCTTGTCTTCGACGGCGATCGGCTGAATGGAAACGCTGTCGCGTGCTTTGGATATAGCGTTAGTCGTATACTACGTGCGCAGCGCGTCTCACATTGGACAGTGGAGCAAACCACGCAGCCACGGGCGGAGATCGGTGACCGGTAGCGGGGATCGGCGGCGGAGGACGGTGACCGGTAGCGGTGATTGGTAGCGGATGTCGGTGAAACTACGCTGGAGCCTCACAGTGGATAGTGAGGCAGTCCGAACTCTGTCACGACGGAGGTTGGTGAGCGTTCTCACATTGGTCAGTGAGGATTGGACACTACGTCACCAAGTGAAGAAAAGTTGGTTGGACCTGGAACGAGCCGCGAGGTATGAGCAGTTAACATTACATTACAGGTCATTTAGCAGACGCTTTTATCCAAAGCGACTTACATTACAAATTACATAATTAACACACACGAGTAAGAAGGAATGAAGCAGAGCTGCCTGCAGTTATTAAAGTGTAAACGGCAGGACTGACGAGAACACAATGGATGGACATTTGGTTTATCGACATTGACATTTTCCAACGAGGACTTGAAATAAGAGACATTTGGGTTTGCAAGAAAATGAAAGTGTTAATGGTTTGTTTTTTATTCTGATGCTCGTTTTCATGATATTGTGAAATATTGCTGTTTTCTGGGTGGTTGACTGGAAAACAAGGTAAAGTGGATGAAGATCATCAAGGTACTGAGGTAACAAATGTGTCAGCTTACTTACAAAAGGTTAATGAGGATGAAGCCTCTGTGGAAAAAAAGGTCTGTAAAATTGACACAAAAAGTACTGCTTTCCAAACTAGGTGGCTTAGAGACACTAAGGAAATCCAAGTTAAGTAAAGCTGCCAATATAAAACAAACTGTTCAAGGGTTAATGTGTCAGTCTGGTTATGAAGCTGAAATAAAAGGTAGCTTCAGCAAATATCAAGCCTTGATTAAAGACGCAAAAGTTGCACATAACCAACTGCTTGAGTTGCTACCCGTAGATGAAAAGGAAAGGCATGAAACCTGGTTCAAAGCAAAGCTGTTAAGTGTGAACGAATTTTGCCATTGCGTAGAAAATCGTTTTAAGAGTGCAAACAATGGTACTACTGAAACCGTTGCCCTTGAGGATGATATAAAGCCAACGGATAGTGTATCAAATGTTGGTACATCATCATGCACTAAAAGCCGTACCAGTGAAAGATCAAGTCGATCAAGCAAAGCTGCATTGGAAGTTGTACACGTGCAAGCAAAAGCCAGGAAAGCTGCACTCATAGCACGTGCAGCAGCGTTAAAAAAGAAACATGAATTGGAAAGGGAGGTGGAATCAATAAGGAAAAAACTGGAACAGGTGGAAATGGATGCTGAGATTGAAGCCTCAGATGCAGAATTGGCAGTACTGCAAACATTTTCAGATCAGGATGGTATGGAGTCGTACATTGAGAAGCAAAAATCAAAAGAAAGCCCTAACGTTTCTGAGGCGAAGTTTGAAAAATCTACAAGATTGATGAGTAATAAAGGTTTATCTACTGCTAATGTTGCACATGCAGTTGATGACAATTCTACACAACAGATTCTGCAAAGGCAAAATGAAATATCCGAGCTGCTCTTACAACAACACAAAGCAAGCCAACTGCCACCTAGACAACTACCTGTTTTCGAAGGTGACTCATTGAAGTTCAAAATGTTCATGCAAGCTTTTAAGCATTGTGTGGAGGAGAAAGCTGCATCTAAAGGGGATTGCATGTATTTTTTGGAAAGGTACACCAGGGGCCGTCCTCACGACCTTGTGCAAAGCTGTTTACATATGAGTGCGGAGAGAGGTTTTGAAACAGCTAAAGCTCTCCTACGGGAACACTTCGGCAATGAAACAAAGATTACAGCAGCATATATGGAAAAGGTTCTCAACTGGCCTGTGGTGAAGCCTGAAGGTGTTTTGTTTCTACAGGACTATGCATTATTTCTACGTGGATGCTATAATGCAATGTCGGATTTGGAGGACATGAAAGAGCTGGACTTGCCGGCTAACCTCAAAACTATTGTTTCAAAACTTCCTTTTAAGTTGAGGGAAAAATTTAGAAGTTCTGCTTGCGGTATTCGGGAGCGACAACTCCGCAAACCTAACTTTAAAGACGTTGTACACTTTG